CCCCTGCCCCCCCCCCGGTGCAAGGTCTGTGCCTCCCTCTCGCTGTCTCCTCCTCACGGGGTCAGCCTGACCGCAAGGAGGGGGAAACAAACAGCCCCCAACCTCCCTGAGATGTAAATAAATAATATAAGCAGCCCTCTGTCCTTGGAGGCTGCTGACTCTGCTGCCAAAACATCCCCCTCCCTTCAAGGCCCCTGAGCGGCCGGCCAGGCTCAGTGCAGCCCGCAGGCTCTGGCATGGGCCATCGGCAGGTGCCCAGCAGATTTCCAGAGCTGTTTTCCAGCCGGCAGCACCCCAGGCAGGACGGAGGACGCAGCATTTACATGGGCACGGGAAACAGGGGACACACCATGATCTGAGACTGAACGTGGGGATGTGCTGTGCCCTACCAAGCCAGGCTCCCCCCGTTCTGCCATCTCCCCCACGCTCGGGGGGGGCCCAGGAACATGCAGCCACTTACTTACCAAGCCCAACCCAAACTCAGATTCAGTGCTCACCCTTTCCTGTCGCAGAAATGGGAATCGCGCTTCAGGCTGCTTCAGCCGTGCTCACGTACTAGATCACTGCGGCCAGAGTGCGAGTGTTGCTGTGTATCTGGGTCCCACCCCTGAATTCACCCTGGTGCGTGCATTTCTGTAGTGCACAGGAGGAGGCAGAATGGAGGTCCTGGAGGAGAAGGAGGAAGAGGAGCAAAGAGAAGAAGAGCTGAAGGCTTTGGAGATCAGTGCTAAACTCCCGGACTTGGAGACGAAGCTGTCCATGGAGCAAATCTGCATCCCAAGTGATGTACCGTAAGTTACGTGTGTCTGTCAGCTACTGGGATGAGCAGAGATGGTCCCTTTGGGGTCCACGGGGGGATTGCACACGTGTGGATGGCACGTGTGGTCCCCTTGCACAAGGAGGGGAGTGAGCGAGTTTTGCGTGCCTGGTCAGTTTGTCCAAGAGTGGGCACGTGCGAGTAAGACAATAACTCACTTCATCGTACGTTCATTTACTGCTGTATCGTGACACTACATAAAGATCCCCTGAGCTTCTGGGTATATGTCAGCTTGCCATCACTCCAGAGAAGCTTGGCTATGTCAAAATCATGTCCTTGGATATGATCCCCGTTTTTTCCCTGGGAAACAGGGAGCCCCTGCCATGTTTTGATAGCAGGTCATCTTGCCTGAATTGCTCCCGGCTTATTACCTGTGTCTCTCTGCCTCCCCCTGTCCTGGAAGTGATTTTGACTGGAGCTCTATTGACACGTCCCAGTTACCGTCCTCGTACAAGACAAATTCCCTGAAGGAAAAGAAGCTACTGCACATCGCTGACCATTTCCTCCAGCAGTACGCTCACCTCTGCCCTGACCGCAAGCCGCTCTTCCTCCACCCGGTCAACGAGTGTGGCGTGGAGGTATGGGGTGGCGTGGGGCTGGGCCGCAGCGGAAGGGACACTCGGCTTCCATAGTGCCAAATGCTGGGGAAGGACAGCAGCCCTTCCTGCCCTCCCCCCTGGCCGAAGGGAATGGGAACCCGCTTGCTGTGCCCACAGCACCCCGAGCAGGCACACAGCACCCCGAGCAGGCACACAGCACCCCGAGCAGGCACACAGCACCCCGAGCAGGCACACAGCACCCCGAGCAGGCACACAGCACCCCGAGCAGGCACACAGCACCCCGAGCAGGCACACAGCACCCCGAGCAGGCACACAGCACCCCGGGAACACCCTGGCTGTCCAAATCCACAAGTGCGTTGTACCATGCACATGGTGGTGGTGCCATGTAGGCTGCAGGCAGCTCGCAGCCCTGCAGCATGATGCTTAGGAAACAGGAAAGACCACAGAAACATAAAGGAAAGTAAAAGAAACACATGAAATAGATAAGGCTCAGGCTCAGTCACAGATATGGAGTCTGGATCCAGAGTTAGGTCTTATTCTGAACTTCGCAGAAGTTACAGGCAAGGAAGTAAATGTGGAAGTTTGTGGTCTGGTTTTGTTTGGGACTGGGTCCAAGCTGCACAACTGTTGCCTAGTTCTGGACCTGATGCTCCCCCAGGCATCTGGAATTGCTACTTTGGACCAGCTTTCCCCAACGTTTATTATATCATTAACATACAAGGCAAAAAATGCTGGAGGACATAAAAGCTGGAAAGGGCAGTAGCTATTTGTCTTGCTTGAAAGCTAAGAGAAGAACTGGCTCGCATCTGTAGTGCGTCTGAGATGAGCTTGAAGTTTTAGCCACAGACAAGCAGGCGGCCTCTCAACCTCATGCAATTTCCATCTCGGAACAGGTGAGGGGGGTTACTGACGCTGTTGATATGCTCTAGGGAGGTCCTGAATGAGAGCTGTAACATCCAGGGGTGGTCTGAAGATGGCTTTTGACAGGAGACTCTGTCAGGCGTCTGTTGGCTAACCGAAGTCCTCTTGTTGCCCTACAGAAGTTTGTGAGCACAACGGTGAGGCCAACCCTGCTGCCTTATACAGAGCTGTACCACTGGGATGGCTGTGCCAGCTTTGTCTCTGATTACCTCACCGTGGAGCCCCTCAAGTCCCCTATCACACCGGTAAGAAAGGGGCTGCAGTCCCATCAGAAACAGCCCCGTAATGGAGGTGACAGAAGGGCTGCTCAGCAGGACACAACGTGGAAACCCCAGTGGCTGGGATTACAAAGGTCTTTGACCCCTCCATCATCCCCTCATTACTTAGGCAACCCCCCGATTTTCCCAGGCCCTGTGCGCTCTGTTTGGATCTGTAATCCCAGTACAGGTACAGTGTTGTACCTGTCAAGCAATTAAGCACCATTTCTGCAAAATTGGGCCTGACCCTGCTCTCAGTCACCCCAGATGACCAGCTGGTCTGCTGTGGGTTGCAATGGCTGACAAGCTTCCCCTCCAAAGACCAAGACACCTCCTGCCCATCTCTCCCTGTGGTTAAATGTCACCAGATTTGGGGTCAGAATTTCCCCAGATCGCTTTGGAGGGGACTTTTGGGGTCTGTGGCTTATATGGGAATTTTATATAAGAGATTCCCTATGGGTGCAGAGCCCAGGGATATGGGCAATGCCCTCTCTCTCTCCTGCTCTCTGCCTGGTGCGTGTTTCAGCTTCACAAGAGCACTGTGAACACGCATCTCTCTTTTTTCCAGCCCAGTTCACTCTATTCCCCAACCACCATCCTGAAATACCAGCGAGGGAACTGCTTTGACTTCAGCGTGCTGCTGTGCTCCATGCTGATCGGGGCCGGGTATGATGCTTACTGTGTGCACGGATATGCCACCCGCGAGATATGCACCCTGGACGAGACTCTGGAGCTGTGCCCACTGCTCAGGAAGCCACAGGAGGTGAGATGTGCAGTGAGCGGGCAGGGAGGAGCCCACCATGCATGCTCAGCCTGTTCATTTCCAGTGAGGTCCGGAGTCGAGCTAGGGGGAACAGCTTCAGGTCCACACTGGGTTTCAGGCTGTACCAAGAAGGGACATCACCAAAGGGATCTTTTGAGTGATTTTCCACAGTTCCTTAAGAGGCCTCTTTGGCTTCACTGCATTCCTGCTCACCAGGTCCAATACTACAAACTGCCAAGGGTTGGGAACTGGGAGGTACCTGTAAGCCATACATTTTCTCCCTTCTCTTGATCTCTGCTGGGTTTCACAGCAACACCCTGCTTTTGTGGAGGCAGGTACCAAAAGAGGGGATGAAGAAGTCGTCCAACAAGTATAGAGTTAAGCCCCCACCAGACCTGCACAGCAAGTTTGAGCTTCAGCAGGAGGCCAAGAAGAAGGCAGAAACTGAAGCTGCTCAAAAGAACAAGGAAAGAGAACAGGAGAAGGTCATGGTGAGTTAGCAAGGTCCACCTCACTGTAAACTCCAGGAGCAAGAGCTGAGACACAGGTAATGGCTGACCAAAGAAAGGAGCTCACCACCCTCTGCCGTGAAGTGTGACACAACCCTGACCATGGCCATGAGCACTTGGCCCCTGGGAGCACAGTGTGTGCTGGCACAGGAATATGTACTGGATATGTACTACGTCACTCTTCTGAAGAGTGTTAGTGGCCTGGAGATCTTTAGAAGTGGGCAGAGGAGAGAATAAGATTGCCATTGGGTTGGACTAAAGTGGCAATAAAATGGCAATAATTACTGCTCTGTCCTCTCCGCTACAGGAACTGGAAAAGCCCAGGCGTGACCCTTTGTATGGCTTACGGGTGCACGCATGGGTTTTGGTTCTGTCTGGGAAGAGGGCGGTTCCCGAGACCTTCTTTATCAACCCCTTCACGGGAAACAGCCACAGCACCATGGATGAGCACTTCCTTGGGATCGAGAGCGTCTGGAACCACAGGAACTACTGGGTGAACATGCAGGACTGCTGGAACGGCTGCAAGGTAATGAGCCCTTAAGCACCCTGTGCCTGGGAGGGACAGCTGGGCCAACCTGAGTCCTGGGGAAGTCCAAGATCAGAGGTCACCCCAGTTTCCACTTAACCATTCCCTGTGTTGGCTCTGGTCATTTTGCCCTGATTACGTAGACTTTGGAACTACTCCAGGACATCCCAGACCCTGAGCTAGAAAATACTTATCACACCTATTAAACCCCTACAGCGCTAGAATATCAGCTTTTAAGGCTGGCTGGACACTTGTTCTCTCAAACAACAGCTTTTAAGGCAGAGGATGTTTTGAGCCTGTCAGGCATGGCTCAAGGCAGGAAAGATCTTGATGAGGCTCTTCCCACACCTCAGCTACTCCCCAGCTGATACAAAGTCTGTGAGGCGAGGGTCTGAGTTAGAGCAACTTTAGGCCTGTGTGGATGACCTTGGGGCCATGCATGCCCCGAGGAGGGAGGCAGAAGGATTTCCAGCAACTTCCTCTCATCTGTGGCAGAGGCACCACGAGGAAAGGGGTCTGTAGCTCTCTAGGCACAGGGGCAGGCTTTGGGGTCCCGCCAGCCAGCCAAGGGTCTGAAGAGCCCACCTCACTGAGATCCAGGGTCTGTCTAGAATCCTTTAACTCTCTGACATCCAGCCAGGTCCAGAGCACCGCAGATGTGCAGGGGCAGCATTCGGTTTAGTGTCAGGCCCTTGAGACTGCCCTGTAGTTAAGTGGGTTTCTTCTGTATGGCCTAGGACCTCATCTTTGACTTGGGTGACGCTATCCGCTGGGAAATTATGCTTTCGGGGAGCAACAAGCCTCTTCAGCTGCTCCCAGATGCTGAGGAGGAAAAGGAGTTATCTGACAGGGACATGGATGACATGGTGAGTGACCCAAATGATGGCTCTCGTGCAGTGGGGATGCTGTATCGAACTGGTGTGTTCGTAGGCCCGCGTATGTCTGCCTGCCTGCTGCCCCCTCCAGGTCAGATCACTGTTGCTCTAGCTACGTTTTGGTTGGCACTTTAGATTCCTTCTCAGTCTTGAATAGTTCTGATGCTTTTTGAAGCAGGACCCCAAGTGGTACTTCTGGTGTCCTAAGTGGCTCGGGACCTCTGTAAGCCTCCAGTGCATTGACCTTTGGGATGAAATAATTTAAAAAAATAAAATCCAAACTGAAATTTTTCTGGACACTCTTTCTCTGCTGGTCAGCACCCTGCTTTCCTGGCTGCTAGGTGGAGTTGCCAGCCAGATGTAGAAATAATGTATGTACTCTAACATACCAAAAAATGCTGTGTACTGGAAGCAAAAAATGGTATGTTGTCCTGGTGGGAGAACACAGCATGATAAAGCAGGCATGGCACCAGCACAGCAGGACGGAGGAACGCCAATAACAGTACGTTCCCTCCTGTTATCTACCCTCCTCAGCCTGTGCCCATAACTGGGGAGCAAAGCACCCTCCATGGTCTACATAAAACAAGCTGGTCATTAGTTTGAATGACGATTGTCACAGTCATCCCCTATCCAGCATGAGCGTTAGCCAGAAGAAGATCATTTCATCAGGCTTGAGTAGGGGTGTGCTAGTGAGAGTGTGGGGGTGCAGTAAAGCTCTCCTTCCACGTAAACTGCAGTGTGCTGCTTACCTCTGTCCTCAGGCTGTGTGTGACCGACACAGCTCTCGTAACTGTGCCACCGTGTTCCCCAGGACCAGCACAGCCTCGCACGAGCTGAGCTCTGATCACTGCACTGCATTCTCTAGAACCAAAATGCCTCCTGGTACAGTAAGAGAAGCTGCCAAAAATGCAAAACTCTGCTTCTGTTTCAGCAGGAAAAGGAGGAAGACATGAGTTTTGACATGCCACCATCATGGGTAGCGCCAATTCAGATATCTCCCAGAGGTATGTATTCTTCCTTTGCCTTTTGCTTGCCCCCCAGCTAACCTCTCTCCCTCCCCGC